TAATGATGAATATACTCATGGCCAGAAGATTATATTTTAAAAGAATTGGCTAGATTAGTTCAAACACTTATTCACTCCAGTTTTGTTATTGTCGAACACATTCCCAATCAAGTACCCCAACCACTGGGGATGTTGGTGCTGCTCCAGTCACCCCTAATCGAGCACTTATATACGCAATCTTATATAACAGAACCTTCTATGACACACGACATCATCGCCATATACCATACGTAGTGCCATCGCTCCACAATTAGACCTCCTTCTGGGAATTTCCTTTTTCAGTTTCGTATTTGCACTTGGACTTAGCCACAGGGCTCCACATTCAATATAGCCACCTTTTGGGTTACAGAAGCGAAAAATCCTAAGATTTTTGCCTCCAGTCTAACTTGAACCGTCGACCTAGTCTGTGGGGGTTTGGCAGCTTAACCACTAAGCTATAGGGCCCAAACCCAACCTTAATTATCATAAGACAAGCTCCGCCAATTAATTAATTAATTAATTGTACCTTTATGAAAAATAGTTATCCAATTTGAACTATGTCTCTTGAGATTCAATTGAAATGTCACTGACAGCTCGTTTGTTACAGAGGGCAATTTGTCATGCTGTATAGTTTTTTTATTAGTAGGAAAGGATGTAGGTCTTGAAAAAATCTCAAGATAATCTGAAAACGTTTAGATAAGCAATATTAACATTAATGGAAATTTGTGATTCTGTAGTTTAAAGCTTCAAAACTTACTATTTGAGCCAATCTCTTTATCATTTAAGTCAATTTCTTTACCATTTGAGTCAATTTCTTTATCAACAAAGTCAATTTCTTTAATCCAAATTTTTACCTGATTTTGACCTTGTCTTTTAGCAATATATGAAGCATCATCAGCATGCTTAAGCAAATCTTCATGAGATTCCACAGACAAATTTATATTAGCAATTCCAAAGCTGACTGTAACTAATAAACATTTTCCATTATAATTAAATTCATGAGACTCAATAACTTTTTGAATTTTCTTTGCACTTTCAAAGGCTAGCTCAGATTTTTTATTCTTAAGAAGGATAATAAACTCTTCTCTGCCATATTGTGCAAAAATATCTTCAGAGTGAATAAGTGTTTGAACTAATCTAGCCAATTCTTTTAAAATATAATCTTCTGGCCATGAGTATATTCATCATTA